CTCAAATTTCGCCACCACTTCGATGACTCCAAAGAAGACAACCCAAAGGCTTCTGAGTCGTGGATGACCTCCAAGGCAGCTTTTGCTTCACCTCTAGTTCAGGTGTCCCAATGGTTGTCTTCACCAGTGGTAGCCCCGTAGTTCACTCCTTTACAGACGGGCTTCACTGACGACCACCATCTTCGCTTCTTCGTGTCTCGACACGTCCGGTCTTGAGTCTTGAGCATCTTTCAATGAAATGACAGGATGCCTACACCACCACATATGCATGCCCTGTGTCCTTCTACAGCTCCTGTCGTCGTGACTACTCAGAGGCTCCCCAGCTCAGTTGCATCTTCAGATCCTACAGATGTACCAAAGAATACGTCATAGGCAGCTCCCCAAATTTCACTCTCGCCTAGACCATTTCAAATGACACTCCCAGCTTGCAGAGGGTCACTTCCAGAGTCTCGGATCGATGATGATGGCGCCTGGCCCACATTGCTACACATACTTCACCGACTCATCCGCACGCAGCCCACTGACCAAACCCTTAGTTTTGGTGTTTGACGCCAAAGGGGGAGAGGGACGAGTATGTAGATTCAGGGGGAGCGTCTATTTAGGGGGAGCTTAAATTATTATTAGCTTATATTATTACATTTGGAGTTTCTATGTGTGATACACTATTACTATTATGCATTCGGGTGTTTACTTTCACGTTTTTATTTATATCCATGTGATAGTGTTATCTACGTGATTGTGATATATGACATGTGTGCTCTCTACTTCGAATTCTTTATATGTCATATCACCTTGATGCTCATTTGATTTGCTTCCGCGCTTTATTCTATTGCAAATGAGCTTTATGATTTGTACTCATGCTTATTTCATATCTTTTGAGTACATAATGATGGCTTGGGTCATATAAGCTTGCCTAACACTTTCGTTCTTATTGACAAAAGCTTATATGGTCCAAGCATGTTTTAAAACCTCAACTCTTTCACATACTCGAGGTGGTATTGTCATCAATCACCAAAAAAGGGGAGATTGAAAGCATCTAGGCCCCTAGATTGGATTTCGGTGATTAATGACAATATAAGATTACTATGACTAACATGTGTTTTGTAGAGGCAATTGAGTTAGGTCATGGTAATGGAGATCGATTGGGCGATCATGGTGTCATGCCCCTACGATGGAAATCGTTTCGGTTTGCAAAGGATGGACGACAAGGTTAAGGATGACTAGTTCTAAGTGTCGATTGAAGTTGAAGAGACACTTATAGTAGTTTAGGACTTTGTTTTTTCCTTTGGCTGTACTATTAAGGGGGGTATGAATGTGTAGCTTGACCTAGGTGAGTCTAGTGAGTTAGGTGTGGTGCACGCTTGTTAATTCTAGCACTAGGTAGCTCCTACAAAGCCCTTTGATCCAATGGAGCAAACTTCATTCACAAATGATCGAGAGTTGGAAGTGAATGGAGGGTCAAATACTGACCGGACGCTGGCTCCGGTGCGACCGGACGCTGGCCACAGGGTCCGGTCAGGTCATTTGACCGAGGAGAATAAGTCTGGTGTGACCGGACGCTGGGAGGTCAAAGTGACCGGACGCTGAGGGCCAGCGTCCGGTCGACTCCAGTAAGGGTCCAGACTTGAGAAAGTGTGACCGGACGCGTCCGGTCAATACTGACCGGACCTTGAGTATCCAGCGTCCGGTCGAGTACAGTAAGCATCCAAGAGCAACCGGACGCGTCCGGTCAGTGCTGACCGGACCCTGCCAGCGTCCGGTCAACACTTAAACATTGATGCGCGGGTTGAACTGACCGGAGCGTCCGGTCACCCCGCAGAGGCACATAACGGTTCGTTTTTCAGCCGCTGTTATAAATAGAACCTCCACTCGTGTGTGGGGGCACTTTTTCTCATTCCATCAGCTGAGAAACTAGTTTGAGAGTGCCAAGAAGAGCAAGGTCCTAGTGAGGTGTTTGTGATTTGAGAATCCAAGAGAGAACCCTCATTAGTGAATCAAGAGTAGCATAGTGTGCATCCATCCTTCTCATTAGGCTTCGCGTGGTCAAGTGAGAGTTCGTGCTTGTTACTCTTGGTGATCGCCATCACCTAGACGGCTTGGTGGTGATTGGGAGTTCGGTGATCATCCGGAGAGCTTGTGGGTGACCCGACTCAAGTTGTGAGCGGCTTTGGGTGATTCGCCGTGACGGAGTGTCAAAGAATCAACCCGTAGAGAGCACTTGATCCTTGCGCGGATCAAGGGGGAGCTACACCCTTGCGCGGGTGCTCCAACGAGGACTAGTGGGGAGTGGCGACTCTCCGATACCTCGGCAAAACATCGCCGCGTTTCCTCTCCTCTCTTTACTTTGAGCATTTACTTTGAGCAATTCAATTCTTGTCATTTACATTCCTAGAATTGCTATGCTAGAGTAGGATTGGAACTAGGTTGCAAGTCTTTTGTGCTTTACATCAATAGAAACACATTTCTAGGCACAAGGGGTTAATTGGGCTAAGCATAGGATTTGTTTATTGCGAAGAAATTTAGAATTAGCCCAATTCACCCCCCTCTTGGGCATCTTGATCTTTTCAAGCCACCAGGGCGGCGGCGACGGATCCCTCAGGGGTCGTGGGCTGGCTGCCCGCGGCGGCGGCTTTGGGGGGGTGTCCTCCTCCATGGCTGTGACCTGTGGGGGAGAGTTCGGAGTGGACCACGCCGGAACCCATGGCGGCATGGGCTCAATGATGAGTGGAGGTCGCGTGAGTCGAGTGAAGCCAGGCTTCGAACGTTCTGGAGTAGTTTTTTTACAAACTTGTGGAGTGGAATGTTGAGGGCAATACGTAGTGGGACGTTCGGGCTGTCGCGGCCCACGACAATGGTAGCGTCCGGACACCCTAAGGAGAGCATTTCTGTAGTGCTTTGGTAGTTGTACACATCTCCTCGCATACCGGCTTAGGTGTAGTTAGTAATTAGTAAGAATTAATAAGAGTATATCCAAATAAGTTAATGCTAAAGGATGTGCTAGCTACTATAAAAATTTTGTAAGGTGAAGAATGTGAGTAAGGGTCGTCAACGATAATACAAATATTAGCTCATAGTTGTATTTAGTAAGAAAAAAAGAGACAGTAAAAAGCAACTAGCTAGCTCTTAGCAAAGAGCTAAGCTGGTATGCTTTTCCATTGATTCATGTCTCCATGCTCACATGTTTTTCTTTGCTAACATATCATAACATTATTTTTTAGTATTTTTTTTTTACTATACTAATTATAAACTATAAATAATAATATTTTTTATATGTATTTGGTCAAAGATGTAAATATTTGATTTCTCGAGAAATGAAAATGACACTCGCTATGAAACGGTGGGACTATCTATTTGTGAGGCTAAAAAAAAGTAGGAGAGAGAGGAAAGTAGTTACATGACTTAATTTTTTTTTGGGCGTTGCCAAAGTTGTGATAAGTCATAATAGAGTTAGCGGTTTGCTAATAGATGGTGTGGTCTTATTCTATTCTGTGCATATATGGAGAAGACTTTTTTCTCTAATAAGGCTATAACATTTCTATGGGCATCTTTTGAACTACGGTTTTTTTTTTTGCATTTTTATGAAAATAAATTGATTTCTATCCTATATAATTTCTGCTAATTTTTTGCTGCGTGGGTGGTGCTGGCCTAAGGACGCGGCACCAAGTCAAGTCAACCCAATGTCATCGCGATTCCAAAGCTGACGTAGTTGATTCTTGCAAGAATAGACAGCATTTCGTGCCTTTGGTTTTGGTCCTTGGATGCCTCCGCAGCTTTCCTCCAGTTCGCAGCACACAGCTTGAAGCGTGGGACTCGGAACTCGGAAGAGACGCCACCATTGGAGGAGCTCTCTCCTCGCTGAACATCATCAGGTAAAGGTCTCTCGTCTCTGTTGCTGCTGCTGACTAACTAGCGCGGGATGAAATGAATTGTGGGGTTTTGTTTTGTGATTCCGTTTATTTTCTGATGATAAATCGTGGGTTAATAAAGAATAATAAAAGCACAAGAAACAGATAGGAAACACCCCATCCGTTCTCCCATGTCACCGCTCAAGATCCCGCCAGCATCCCGCCGCCGTATCATCCCTGGAGCTCGAGGCGCGCGCCGGCACGGCCAGCCGGAGCGACCTCGCCGCCTCCTTTGGCTGCTTAATCGCAACTCCCCCGTGTTCCTTTCCACCCGTCGGGTGTGACGCCGGACACGCGCACACGCAACCTGCTCGAACAATCGCCGCACCGCCGAGCGCCCCTGACGGATTGCAATCCTAATCCTCTGATGCTGCTCCGCTCTGCCCACCACTAGATCCACGACCAAATTCCACATATTCATTGGAAGGGATGCCGGGAAGTGATGAGAATCGTAATGTCCTGACAATTCCCTGCTGGTGCTGGTTGATTAATGAACAAAGCTATTTCCTTGCATAGCCCGTGTATCTGTGACATCCATTTCATTTGCTTTCGGAAGAAACCATAATAACAGGATGTTGTTCTTTGTAATTTCTGAAGAGAGGAGCATCCTTTTTGCTCCAAGACTAAACCTTGTAATTTTGTTTGAGATATACATGGCGCCATCCGCCATTATCTTTGGTGAGCTGTTCCTGACTCTGATTATCATTGACAGTAGTAAAATCTGCTTTGTGAGGGCCACACTTTCATAGTGAACCTACGGGTTATTATATTTGATGAGGTTTCTAGCTAATTTTTCACTGTCACGTGTTGAAACTTATTTAACGACAGCACAGTGTGCAGAATGTAAATATTGCAAACCAAATATACTGGGAGCGCAACCCGAATAACAATGGTAGTTATGATGAATTCTCTAAATCAAACTGCATAAGGTTACTGTTTCTAAAAATGGTTGCCTCTTCCCACTGTAGGAATATTAATTGCCAATGTTACATTGGAAGCAATCCCATGGACGTTTCCAGTTAATTTGATTCCATTACTTACAATAGCTTATTATGCAATCTGCAACAAATTTATGTTTTTTCCCATTCAGCAGAGATGGCAGAGGCAGCACTCCTTGCTCTCTCGAAGATTGGGTCCTATTTAGGAGGAGAAGCAGCTACCTTCATTGCAACCAAATTTTCTAATTTGATCGAGCTACCAAACACTGTGCGGCGTATTCGTAGGGAACTTCTGATGATGAACATCTTTATACGGAAGACAGGTGCATCCTATCTCAGTGATGAGCTCCTCAAGGCTTGGATCACAGAAGTGAGAATACTGGCCTACTGTGTCGATGACATAATGGACAATTTTTCATATCATTCTCTTCAATTCAAGCAAGACCCTAAAGGGAAAAAGTTGGCCAATGGGTTAAGCTATGGTCTAGTGTTTAGTGGAATTGCTGATGATTTAGCTCAGATAGAGAAGGAAATTGAGCATGTTTCGAAGTTGAAGAATCTGTGGTTGAACTCAGTCCATGAGCTTCTTCCTACTCAAGTTAGCAGTCCTGAACAGCAATTCCCTCAATACAGTTTGCCCCAACTTGTAAAGGATGAAAACCTGGTGGGGTTAAAGGAAGAAAGAGAGCAATTAAAGGAATGGTTGATTCCCAATGCACCTGTCAACATGAAAAATATGCCAGCTCTCAAGGTGGTATCTTTGTTGGGTATGGGTGGGATGGGAAAGACCACCCTGCTCACTAGTGTGTATGATAAACTGAAAGATATCTTCGAAATCCATGCTTGGCTCACTGTCTCACAAACATACATAAGTGTAGATGCTTTACTGAAGGAGCTACTAAAGATTGTTAGTGCCTCTGAGCACACAACAACAGCTCATGTTAACAGTGTCAATCAGAAGGAAGCGACTGTACCAGTTGACATTGATGTAGGACACAAGAAACAGCTGAAACCAGATGATATCGACAAAATGAGCATCTTAGACTTGAAGAGTAATTTAAAGGCAGTCCTGAAACATAAGAAATATATAGTTGTGTTAGATGATGTATGGGATCGTCGAGTTCATGATGGAATAAGCGATGTGTTTGAAGATTGTGGGAAGGAAAGTCGCATTGTCATCACAACAAGGAAACAGGATGTAGCTGCTCTTGCCACACCAGGTTACCAGCTCAACCTGAATCCATTAGACATCAAGGATGCACTCCAGCTCTTCTGTACAAAGGCTTTTCCCAACAAAACCCACTTTGATTGGATATCAGAACTTCTTGAGTGTGCTAATGATATGATGAAGACGTCTGAGGGTCTTCCATTGGAGAAGTGCCCACTTGAGCTTATAGAGCTTGCTAATCATATTGTTAGGAAATGTGAGGACTCCTCGGTGGCAAAGTGTCCATCTGGGCTTCAGGATCTTGCTACTTATACTATAAACAAATTTAAGGGTTTATCACTATCAGCATGCCCATTAGAGCTTCAGAATCTAGCTACTCTTATTGTAAAACAGTGTGAGGATTTACCTCTGGTCAAGTGTCCATCAGAGCTTCAGGAGATTGCTATTGATATTATAAAGAAATGTAGGGGTTTGCCGCTGGCTATTGTATCAGTAGGCAGTAGGTTGTCTTCAAGGAAGCAGATAGTGCCAGTTTGGAGGCAGATGTGCAATGAGCTTCCTTGTGAGCTGGAAAAAGATGACCAGGTTCGAGGAATTCTAAATCTTAGCTACTATGACTTGCCAAGTGACCTTCGAAACTGCTTCCTATACTGCAGCCTGTTTCCGGAAGATTACCACTTCTCAAAGGATGACCTTGTGCGACTGTGGGTTGCTGAAGGATTTATTGACAAGAAAGGGGATAGCACTCCTGAGGAGGTAGCAGAGGGCTATCTTACCGAGCTGATCCACCGCAATATGCTGCAACTTGTGGAAAATGATGAGCTTGGCAGGGTGAGTACATGCAAAATGCATGACATTTTAAGAGAGTTGGCCCTTTGCATCTCTAAAGCGGAAATGTTTTGTACAGTAAACGATTTTGGTGCAATGGTGCAGATGGGCACAGATGTTCGTCGCATATCTTCTTATGGATGGAAGAAGATGAAAAAGAATAAATCCAAGATGAAATTTCCACACCTCCGAACCCTGATGGCAAGTGATACCATTGTGGACTATGTACCATCAATACTATCTGAATCAAAGTACCTTACTGTCCTTGAGCTGCAGAACTCTGATTTCCAGGAACTGCCTACATCTATAGGGAATCTGTTTAATCTGAAATACATTGGCCTAAGAAATACAAGAATAACATCTCTGCCAGACTCCATTAAGAATCTCTGCAATCTCCAAACTCTTGATGTCAAATCAACTAGTATAAAAGCACTGCCACCTGGTATAGTGAAGCTCACTAAGCTAAGGCACCTTCTTGCTGACAAATTTGCTGATAAGAACCAGTCAGAGTTTCGGTACTTCGTCGGAGTGGAAGCTCCGGAGGGCTTTCGAACCTTGAAGATTTACAGACTCTTGAGACTGTGCAAGCAAGCATGGAGTTGCCGGAGCAACTTGATAAGCTTTTGCACCTAAGAAGCCTGTGGATAGATAACATCACTTCTGCCCACTGTGCAGGGCTTTTTGCTACCTTGTCAACTATGCCACTTCTTTCCAGTTTGCTTCTATCTGCAGCTGATGAAAATGAGACACTTCTCTTGAATCATTTCAATCCGACTTGCATGAAGCTCCACAAACTAATTGTAAGAGGATCTTGGTCTCTAACGGATTGTCCAATACTTCAAAACCATGGCAGATATCTCAAGTATCTTGCCCTAAGCAGATGCCATTTTGTAGGAGATCCGCTGGTGGTTCTAGCATCTACTGTACCAAACATCACGTATCTGAGACTTAACAATATACCTAGTCCACTTACTTTGGACCTTCCAGAAGGATCCTTCCCACACCTGAAGATACTAGTTTTGAAGAACATGAATGATGTCAGCCTTCTGAAAATTAGTAATGGTGCACTTCCAGTCATAGAATGTCTATATATCACATCACTGCCAAAATTGGAGACAGTCCCTCAAGGTATCAAATCCCTGGGCTCCTTGAAAAAGCTCTGGCTGCTGGATCTCCATAGTAACTTCAAGGCTCAATGGGACATGGCTGGAATGCAGAAGGATCTACAGCATGTTCTGGAGATACGTGCCTAACAGCAGAAGCTTTGTTTGTATTTGTCAAACGTGGCTGCTCTTTCAGTAGTAAAAGTGTGCCAGGATGCAACTGTGTCCACTCCAAAGTCCATCAAGTTTGCAGTTAGATATTAGGGATAGCTGCATTTGTCAATCTGGATCATTTGTCAGATGTTTCCGAAATAAGAATTCCTGAAACATGGTTTGCTATCTTTGCCCTCAGTATGCAATCTAGACTTACCAATGTCGATGTTCTTTTTTCTAGTTACATCTAAGGCGTCGGTTCATTTAAGGACATTACTCTATTTCTACTGAATTTGCAATGTTATTACTGTATCAACTAAAACTTTTTCTTGTATCACACACACATGTTGTCTGTACCTTTCTGTTGAAATGAACCAGCAGTATGTTCATTATTATCTACTCTCTCTGTTCCAAATTATAAGTCGTTTGGGGTTTTTTAGATACATAGCTTTTGTTATGCTAAACATAACCTATATCTAGGGGCATAGCAAAGGTTATATATTTAGAAAAGCCAAACCGATTTATAATTCGGAATGAAGGAGTACAAGACATGGAGACACCATATAAATGGCATGAATCCTCCCAGGATGTTGTTATTAGGTTTGTTCATATGATTTCATTAGAAAAGAATATCTAGAAAAGTAAATGATTTCATTAGAAAGGATATCTAGAAGTCCACCATATGAGACCTTGTATGGTTGTATCACTTTGGTCTAACAACTAGTAAAACATGCAAAAGGATGCATCAACTTGTTATATGTGTGCATCTACAGTCAACTAAGCCCATTTTACCACATAGTAAGCCATGTAGATGGTAGCTACAGTCTGCAAGAGGAGGGCCAAAATATAAAAACGAAGATGTTCCCTAGCGTTCCTTTGATGAAGATGCTGGGCCACTGCTGAATCACAGGTGCCGACCTCTCATGCACCCCATGTCTGGGCTACTATACCATGTGTTTCATTGATGGGTTAAAAGATCATATTCATGCTCCTGTGTCTTTACATCGCCCAAAAAATTTGGATACAATGTTTGTATTCTTGCCCTATTGCAGGAGGAGGTCATTGGCCCGTCAAAGGAGTTCAGGGAATGGGATTCTATGCCTACAGCGAAACCATATGTCACGTTGGCTTTGCCACTGCTCCTGCCACCCAACCATACTAATAAGTTGATTGATGCTGCTCTGGGTAAACCTTCGTTGGACGGGCCTCACGGTCCGTCTGCTGATGATCGTTGGGCCGCCCTGCGTTCATATCGGCGTTCTCAAGGGCTGTGTGTTCATTGTGCTGGTAAATGGTCCAAGGATCACCAATCTCCATAGGCTATTCAACTCAATGTGGTTCAGGAATTGATGGAGGTTTTTAGTGTGGAGGATTCGCCCCTGGTTGATACGGATGCTGCTGATACTGACCCCGGCCAACTATTGACGATTTTGTCTGCTGATGCTGTGATTGCTATTCTGGTGCCTCGGACTATGACCTTCAGTGGGCTGTTGGGCAGTCGTTCCATCGGTATTCTCTTGGATTCGGGAGCTCTCATACTTTTGTCACTGAGTTAGTCGCTGCTGCTTGTGCTCAGGTTTCCCAGCTGCCGTCTCCATTGCACGTTCAAGTTGCTAATGGTAGCATGCTGTTGTGCTCAACTTACATTCCTGATGCACTTTGGTCTGTTCAGGGGGTTCCAATTCCACTCAGATTTGAAGGTGCTGCTATTATCATCTTATGATATGATCCTTGGGATCGACTGGTTGGAAAGCCATAGTCCAATGAAGGTTCATTGGGGTCACAAGTGAGTACAAATTCCATATCACGGCACTACGGTCAAGCTGTTTGGCACTCTGACTTGTTTGCCTGCGGGTTCTTTTTTTCAGTTATATGATTCCAATCTTCCGCCAGGCGCTAATTCTGCTGATACATGGCTAATGGAGATACAGACACTCGTGGCAGAGTTTTCCTCGTTGTTTCAGCCTCCAACCCAGCTTCCTCCTTCACGAGCCTATGACCATGCTATACCATTGATCGCTGGGGCGGCACCAGTTTATCCTCGGCCTTACCGTTTTGCTCCAGCTGTCAAGGATGAGATTGAAAAACAAGTCTAGGAGATGTTGTCTACTGGCCTGATTCAGAAAAGTTCTAGCCCCTTCTCTTCCTCAATTTTGTTACTGAAGACGAAGGATAATTCTTGGCGCTTTTGCATGGACTACTGCCATCCAGTCCTATTATAGATGAGTTGCTTGATAAGTTGGGACAGGCCAGCTAGTTTTCCAAGTTGGATCTGTGCTCGGGGTTGCATCAGATTCTGCTCCAGCCCGAGGAGGAGTACAAAATGTCTTTTTGGACCCACTTTGGTCAGTTTGAATTTAGGGTGATGCCGTTTGGGTTGACAGGTGCTCCAGGAACCTTTCAAGAGGCTATGAACTCTACATTGGCGCCATTCCTTCGGAAGTTTGTCTTGGTTTTCTTTGACAATATCTTGATATACAGCCCCTCTTATGAGCAGCACCTGCTTCATTTGCGGCAAGTTTTCCAGTTGCTCTCTGCCCGTGAGTGGAAGCTCAAGATGTCTAAGTGTTCGTCTTACAACAGAGTATCAGCTACCTGGGTTATGTAATTAGTGGTGCTAGAGTAGCCATCAATCCTAAAAAGATTGTTGCAGTGGCCAATTGGTCTGTGCCCAAGTCTGTCAAAGAACACCATGGCTTCCTTGGTTTAACATAATAGAGGAAGGGCAATAGGCTTAGATTACTTAATCAGATTACAGGAGGAGTTACACGTATATATAGGAGAGCAGGGAGAGCCCAAAGGGCCTGGCCAGCCTGGAGGTGGCGCATAGGACTAAGAGATTACAGCTAAGAGGTAATTAATTCTAACACCCCCCTGCAGTCGGAACGTCGTTAGAGCGAACGTTCAGACTGGAGCGGAAATCCATAAATACAGAAGAAGGAAGCCCCTTGGTGAAGACATCGGCGAACTGCGACGTGGTGGGAACATGAAGAACACGGACGGCTCCAATGGTGACCCGCTCCCCGACGGTGGAGGTCGATTTCCACGTGCTTGGTGCGCCGATGTCGAACGGGTTGGTGGAGAGGACGGCGCCGACGTTGTTGCGATGAGACGAGGCAGCGTAATCCGGAGGATGGTGAAGCTCTGAGAAGCCGCGCACCAGAGGCTTCAAATGACACCGTGGGCAACGGCACGGTACTCGCCTCGGCGCTTGACCGAAAAAAACGGTGGGTTGGCGCTTAGACGCGACCAGAAACAAGGTCCTCCGAGGAAGACAATATGACTGAGGTGGAACGGCGGGTGTCGGGGCAGCCGCCCGGTCGGCGTCGGTGTACATGACGAAATGAGTTGGAGCAGATCTCGAATGACCGGACCATGACCGATAGTGCCACGAAGGTAGCGAAGAATCCGCTTAGCGACAATAAGATGAACTTCCGGGATCATGCATGTGTAGGCGGACTTGTTGGATGGCGATGCAATGTCGTGCCGGGTGAATGTCGTAATCAAGAGCTCCCATAAGGTCAAGCGGTAGGTCAGAGGATCATCAATGTAAGGGCCGACATCGCCAGCAGACACTTTGGCACAAGTGTCGACAGGGGTAGAGCATGGTTTACAGTCGCTCATGCCGTGTCGAGTGAGAATGTCCAGAGTGTACAGATGTTGTGAGAGAAAGAGAGTATCCCTGTGTCGCTAAACTGCCACGTCGAGAAAGTGGTGCAGGGGACCAAGATCAGTCATGGCAAATTCCTTCTTCAGTGCATCAATCACACGGTGTAGGAGCTGCTCAGAGGAGGCTGTAAGGACAATATCGTCCACATATAGAAGCAAGTAGAGTGTCGCGGTGCCACGGCGATATATGAAGAGAGAGGTGTCTGTCTTGGCTTCAGTGAAACCCAGTGAGAGCAGAAAAGAGGCAAACCGGCTGTACCATGCTTGCGGTGCCTGCTTTAAGCCGTAGAGGGATCTGTTGAGCTTGCAGACGTGTCCAGGAAGAGCAGGATCAGCAAAGCCAGTGGGTTGAGAGCAATACACTGTTTCTGACAAAGTCCCGTGGAGGAAGGCGTTCTTCACATCAAGTTGATGGATGGGCCAATCCCGAGAGTGAGCCAGAGTGAGGACGGTGCGAACGGTAGCGGGCTTGACGACGGGACTGAAAGTCTCATCGTAATCAACTCCGGGGCGTTGTGTGAACCCACGGAGCACCCAACGAGCCTTGTATCTGTCCAAGGAGCCATCAGCATGAAACTTGTGTTTGAAGATCCATTTTCCGGTGACCACATTTGCCCTGGCAGACTGAGGAACGAGATCCCAAGTGTGGTTGTCCAAGAGGGCAGCAAATTCTTCTTCCATGGCCCGACGCTAGTGCGGATTAGCAAGAGCGTCACGACAGGACCGTGGCAGTGGGGACAGAGCCTCGGTGTGTAGAGCAAGGCGAGGCTGTCTGTATTCGGACTTCCCGCGGGTCGCCATACCATGAGAGTTGGCGATTGGCGGGATGGAGACGGCTCCTGTTGGCAGTGGAGGACCACTCTTGACGTAGCTCGGTGGAGAGGGAATCATGCCGGAGCGTCGAGGAGGAGCCCCAGCGGGGGACTCAGGTGGCGAGCTGGGTGTGGGGGCATGCCGAGTGTAGACATGGACGACGGGCGGCTTGCTGAAGGAGGAAGTCAGGGGCGCCGGCACAGGGGGCACCATGGGCGCCTGTAAAGGGGACGCTGGCGGAGGGGGCGCCGTGGATGTCTCTCACAATGGGCGCTCAGGAGGGGGCCATGGGCGCGGTGAAGCCGGTGTGAGGAGATCGGACGTCAAGGCGTGCCGGAGGGGCACCGAGGCGCCCATTGGTCTGGGTATGGTGAAGCCCGGTGGAGGCGACCTGGATGCCGATGTGCCCAGTCCCGGCGCCGGGGTGACTGAAGACACCGGTTGGGAGGGGGCCCGCAGAGGTGCAGGCGCTAGCAGGGTGGCAGCGACTCCAGGTGTATCTGCAGGGAGAAAAGGGACCGACGGAGGGTCGCCATCGCTTAGAAAATCTAGTTCGTGTGTAGGCGGTGAGGGCCGCCAAGAAGAAAGGGAACGTTGTTTCGTCGAAAACAACGTGGCGAGAGATGATGACACGGTTTGTGGCGAGGTCGAGGCACCTGTAACCTTGTGATCGGGAGAGTAGCCAATGAAAACGCATAAAGAAGAGCGCAGGGCAAGTTTGTGAGGAGTGGTAGCGGTGAGATTAGGGTAGCAGGTGCACCCGAAGGCCCGGAGGTCATGATAGGAAGGGTGAGTGCCATAGAGTGCGAAGAAGGGAGTGCTCATGTTCGGCGTTTTTTGGTGGGGAGGCGATTTATGAGGTGGGTGGCGAGAGCAAGTGCATCGGCCCGAGAGAGGGGGGGGCATGGACGCTTGGAAGAGCAGGGTGCGGGTGACATTGTTGGTGGTGCGAAGCATGCGTTCGGCTTTGCCATTTTGCTGTGAGGTGTAGGGGCATGACATGCGGAGAGAAACACCTTTGGCAAGAAAGAAAGCACGAGACGCAGAGTTGTCAAACTCACGACCGTTGTCACATTGCATGATTTGATGGTACAACCAAACCGAGTGTGTAGAGGCAAAGAAATTGGAGAGGATAAGAAAAGTGTCGGACTTTAATCGAAGAGGAAAAGTCCAAAGAAAATGAGAGCAATCATCGAGAATAACGAGATAATATTTAAATCCGGATACACTGACAATAGGGGATGTCCACAGGTCACAATGTATCAGATCGAAATTTTTAGGTGCTCTAGACAAGGAACTAGTAAAAGGCAAGCGAACATGGCGCCCAAGCTGACAGGCATGGCAGATGGAGTCATCTTTAGACTTGCTGCAGATAATGGAAGATGACTGGGCGAGACTCTGAAGGGCAGCCCTGCCGGGGTGACCGAGACGACGATGCTAGGTAGTTGGAGAAGGAGTGGCCACAAGAGCACAAGGATCAGAAGGCGACGACGGGAGCTGCAAGGTGTAGAGAGGCCCTGAGCTGTTACATCGAAGGAGGGTGTTCCTGGTACGGAGATCCTTCACAGAGACACTAAGAGGGTCAAACTCCACAGAAACAAAGTTATCAGTAGTGAACTTGCGAACAGAAAGAAGATTTTTAATGATGTCAGGAGCTATAAGGACATTGTTGAGACGGAAAGGGCCAGGAAGAGTGGAGTATCCGGTGCCAATAACCGGGAGAGTGGCGCCATTTCCCACAACAATGGAGGAAGGAAAAGAGGAGGATGGAGATACGATAATCATACCAGGGTTGGAGGCAATGTGAGACGGCAAGCATCCGAAATCGATCACCCAAATCCGAGGAGTTCGGTGGCGGGGGGTGAGGGTGACGGTGTGAAGGCGTTATGAGGGACCGGGGATCCCACGGTGACCAAGTAGGAGGCGTCGGAGGTGGTGCCGGCGTCCAGGTAGGATGAGACGCCTAGGTGGGCACCTGGTGGTATGTCCCAGGAGCCGAAGGGTAGTAGGCTGGAGGCACGCTGGCCACCAGAGTGTGCTGCTACAGCTGCTGCGACGGAGGCGGGCCGGTGCGGGGAGGTGGACCGCGAGGGCTACCAGGAGTGGACCCGGGCCACATGTGGATGGACCCGGTCCTCGGGTTGAGGAGGGAGGGCCACTGGGAACCACCTGGTGCGCCATTGTTCGAGCCGCCTTGGCCACGGCCGCCACGATGACGCCGGCCACGGCCACTACCAGACGAGCCCCCCCCCCCCGACGTTCTGTTGAGGACACGGGGTTGCAGACCCAGATGCCGGCTAGGATGCAGGTGGCTTGCTGGACAAAGAGACGACGAGAGCCGATGGAGGTGCCATGTTGAGCTTGGCCAGGCGCAGGTCGGCGCGGACGTCCGCAAAGGAGGGGAACAACTTCTGGCACGTGATGAACTGCGACATGAACTGGAAGCGCTCATTGAGGCCTCGCAGTATGTTCAGCACCAGAGTACGGTCATGGACGGGCTCGCCAAGATCGGCAAGGGCATCAGCCATGCCCTTCATCTTGCGGCAGTAGTCGTCGATGGAGAGGGCGCCCTGGGAGAGGGTGCGGAACTCAGCGTCGAGGAGCATGGCGCGTG